ACACACACAAACACACACGCACAAACACGCACAAACACAAACACAAACACAAACACACGAACACACAAACACACGAACACACGAACACACGAACACACGAACACACAAACACACGAGCACACGAACACACGAACACACGAACACACACACACACACACAAACACGCAAACACGCAACACGCAACACGCAACACACACACCACGCACCACGCAACACGGAAGACGCAACACGAAACACGCAACACGCAACACGCAACAGGCAACACACGCCCACACGCACACGCACACGCACACACACACACCACACAACACCACACCACACCACACCACACCACACCACACCACACCACACCACACCACACCACAACACAACACAACACAACACAACACAACACAACACAACACAACACAACACAACACAACACAACACAGCGCGCACGCACGCACGCACGCACGCGCGCGAAAACAACCTAACCAGCAGACAAACCTACAAGCACACCATCATGCGAGCATGAAAACACAAGGCACACATACACGAAACGACACAAACACGCACCGACTCACTCATGCGCGCAAACAGGGAAACATGCAAGCGCGCAAATTTGCGCGCACACACACGCACAGAGACACAAGTGCAAACACCCAAACACGCAAAGACAAACAGCGTGTTTCGTGATTGCGTGCTGCAAAAGCGCGAAAGTGAAGACTCGTTATTGCATATGAAAGACAAAGACATGAATGACAGTTCCATCCAATAATCTGCCGGCTTACAAGCTGTTCACCTTGTTTACAATTCATCTTGAAATTTATGCTTTTGGTGCGCCTCATCTTGGTTTTGCCTCCGGCTGCAGACCAGAAAGAGATGATAACGGGAGATGCAATTGAGGATAGGAAGGGGGGGTAAGCAAAAGGGGCGGCATAGCCGTCAGAATCAAAACACCTGCTCTCTCCGCATCCATGCCTTGCCAATCATGAAACATTTGTGTACCAAACAACACGCGCGCAACATGGGTCGGGTGGAAATCAAAAAAGCCGGCGCTTTGAAAGGGGCAGACTGATTTCAGAGGTTCGAAGGAGGCAGCCCGTTTCTGTGAAAAGCCCGCCTCCTCGAGGTACTCTCCATGATGGCGGCAGGAATTTGCGGGCCACCGTGTACTGGCGCGCTGCTGCCTTCGGCTCGGTCTTCGTGGGGGCCGCGCTTTTTGGCACAAACACCGTGACAGCGGTGTCGTCTCGAAGCAATTGCGGTTCACCTGAAGGGCGGGTCTATCCCTCGCTCCACCTTGCTCACAAAATGTGGGGCAGCCACCACCAAGCTCCTCGCGCCGGGCACCGCTCTGCAACCCGGCAACGGTCCCAAAAACAAGCCTGCCGGATCGCCTGCGCTTGCGGTGTCGCAGCCCTTCCCTTCGCCATGAAAGCAAGCAGCGTGCTCCAGCACTCCAAGCCAAAAATCTCCACACGGGTACAAAGCTGAATCCAGGCACTTTCGCAAAACGTACTGTGTACACTGTGTTGAGCACTCTGTCAAGACTCTGTTTGTTTAGAGGCTTTGCCGCAGCCTGCGCAAACTGTCACAGCTGTGTGCGCGCAAACCCCAAAAACAATCCGGAACACAGGCTGGCAGCAACCCTGCGCAACGCCATGGCCCAAGGGCAAAAAACATCAACCCCAATTTCCCCGCGCCCCAATTTCAACGTTGCTGCTGTCTGCGGCGCGCTTGTCAACGCCCAACACTCAAATTAGGGGAGCCGAAGGGGGGGGGGTTCAAGAGCAACCTCTGCGCCACGGGCTTGTTGTCCACTCGCGCCCCCGTACAACCTTCGCCGCTTTGGCAGTCCCAGTTTGGAGTAAACTCGAGCCAGAAGCAATCGTGAGAAGAAGATACCAAACGACATAGCAGTCTCTGTGGCTCTGGGTCTGTTTCTGGCGGTGGAGACCGCGTGCTGCAAGCGACTGACGCTTGATGGCTTCAACTGCGCTGGAAGTTCCTGGTAGATGTGTTGCGAGCGTAGTACGCAGCGAGCGCAGCGAGCGCTTTGTCTGGGCAAGTTTGTAATGTGTTGGGAGAGAAGGGGGGCATGATCCAAGACGCGTGTGTGACACAAACTGACGCTGAAAGGTCAATGGTCGGCAAAAACACAGAACATGGGAAGGGGTGTAACTCAACAAGAGAACGCTGCGAAAGATGCGAAAACATCTTACACCAAATCTTAGTCACGTAAGATGGGTCAAACGATAGCTCTCTGAACGCCCAAGTTGGCTAAACCTGAATCAGCATAGCAAACGGTTGGAGCCTTCAGTTGACAAAAAGACGTCACACCGTCAATGCTTTTTTCGCACACATTCAAGGAGCCCGCGCAAGCTGCCAATTACAAATTCCGCGTTGCCACGAGCAACGTGGCCACTGCCGCCAGGAAAGAAACCAAGCCCGGCCATGGCAGTTTGCGCGCAAAAACAAGAGCTTCAGACAGCAGCCTGCGCTGCCTTGAGCAGCGTGAACAGCAGGTCCGGCCCGAGCATCCGTGATCACATCGGAGTCCGTGCTGCAAGCAGCTGAAGCATCCGTGGCGGCGGCCATAGCGGACTGAGACGCATCCATCTCCCTGGCCATAGCGGACTGAGACACGTAGTAGGGCCAGGAGGTGCAGAGCTGCACCGGCTGCAACCTGGCCACTGGCACTAGGCTCCTTTGGTTTCAAGTACTTGTGGACGGAAGAAATCAAACATTGAGGTTTATGTGCGGGGTGGGAGTCTTGGGCTCCTTGTTCTTCAAGTGCTTGGAAATCCATCCACCTTCTGCGGAAACAATCAAACAGTTGAGAGTCTTGGACTCCTTTTTCTTCAAGTACTTGGAAACCGTGGAAACCCGCCTTCCGCAGAAACAATCATTTGATTTGGGTTGTTACAAAGTACAAATCCCTAGGCTTCTTTGGCTTCAAGGAAGAGCCTTGACAAAATGGACGAACCTGCGCCAACAGCCTTGACAAAGATGGGCGCCCGCGCCAGTTTTCTGTGGTCACGGTGCGTTGAGGTTGAGGTTGAGGTCAAAGCGCCTGGGCGCGTTGATTCGTTGATATGGCTGGCGCTCGTGTGAGTGCGTGCGTGCGTGCGTTGCGATTGATTGGAAAGCGTGGTGGCGTGTGCGCAGTGTGCGCCAAAAAGACCTTATATGCCATGAGTACGACATCCCGCCTCTGCGAATTAATGGCCGCGTGCTGACGGCCCTGATGACTGCGCCAAGGAGTCCAGCTCCTTAGGCCGGACTGCGCCGAAATCAAGAATCAGGTGGCCGGTGAACCTTGATAAGCCGTTGATAAATCTAGGGGGCGGCGCAGCAACAATCAAATCCATCGATCACGGCCGGCCAAGAGTCGAACACTCTTGCCGGGAGCCTTTCATCCCAGAATGCCATTGCAGCGATCATGAGGACGATCGGTATTTCCGGCATCTCCTGTCAGCGCACGGTAGCACTCGGGGCGAGATCACCAAGAGTGTGCGCAACAGCCAACATTGGACTTGACATTGTGATGCGATGATTGAGACGCATCGTGTAGTTGAATGCCAACACATGTGACATTATAATCTGGGTGGTTCCATGGACTTTGGCCTGTTGGTCTGTTGGTCCTTCCTACCACAGAGTTCTGCACACCCGATCGTGTGTCACTTGTCACTTCCCAAGAAAGAAAGTATGAGGTTTTATGAGGATTGAGGATTGTTGCTTCTTCGGCGCAGGGGCGCAGCACGCCAGTCCTCCGCGCTGAATTCGCACACGCGCCTGGCCCCGAGAGCGAGGCAGTCCACTTCAAACGCGCCCAACCGGTCACTGAGTTCTGCAATCTCGAGAAACAAGGTAACAAAGTTTTCGACGGCGCACACGCAAGACGTTTCACTGAAGTTCTGTGACCAAGACCCTTGCTCTCAAGGCGCCCGCGTCCGCAGCTGCAGCGCCAGCCGCAAGCCACGATGCGAAGCACAGAGCGCAGCTGTCCGTGGCTCGTTGTTCAGGACAGCCGTGCAGCAGAACTAGCACAGTCGGTTCTGGAGGTGCGCCACTTCTTCCGGGCAAATCTATCCATAGGGCACCCACAACTTCTCATCCTTCGCCGTCATGCAGACCCCCTTTTGCCACCTGTAGTCAGCGTAGCCATTGCTGAAAGCTTGGGATTGTTCGATCTCAAGCCAAGCGCCCTGGAACAGCGACAGGAAGGTTGGCAGGTCAATCGTGCTCTGGCAGTACTCAATGGGCCGGTAGTCATCGAAGAAGATGAACCTCTTTCCCTTCACAAGGTTGGCCAAGGGAAAGCCAGCATTCAGCGTCGGCTTGTGGAACAGCCTCGTACTTCCGAACAAGGTCTCAAGCGGCTGCACCAGAGTGGTCTTGCCACTGTTGCTCGGGCCAATCAGGAAAGGCACTTGGTGAACCTTGGGCGGGCCCTCGACAATCACAGCCTGGCGGTTGCGAAGCGACAACAAGAAACGGCAAGGGCGTCCACTAGAACTTCCAAACCTAAAAAAGCTTACGCGTCCTGCAGTCAAAACACGCGGAGAGCTGCCGCCAACTCCTCCCTCCGCACAGTAGGGTTTAAAGAACAGTCGTCGCCTTTGGGGCATGTCTGGCTGGCCGCTTGCAGCACCAGGCCCCACTCAGACTCAGCCTCCTCCATGCCGCCTTGGGCGCGCCATCCCACTCCCACGCATCCTCCACGTGCTCGCTAGGCCGTGGCGATGAAGCGCCAACATAGGCGTGCGGCTCGCATGCGGGCAAGTCTGAGGGGACAAAGGACCATTCTCTAGTAAGAGGCAGGAGTCACAGAACCTGTCTGATAGAAAATCCTCAGCTGAAAAAGAGGCAGGCGGTCAGTCAATTTTTCAAAGAGAAAAATGAAGTTTTGTCCAAGGTGACGTGCATGCACTTTTGCCAGCAGTCCACGAAGGCCTTTCCAAGGTGAGCAATTAGAGGCAGACAGCAAAAGTTCATCTCACAAACCAACCTCCGCA